TTATGAGTTTCCGAGATAATATTTTGTAGTTCATCCCTAGTAATGTATTGGCGCTGAATGTCCTGTAGAGATTTTTCCATTAGAACTATTTTCTTTAATAAAGGGGTTACATCTACGTGGTCGAAGGTAACTGGTGGTAATTTTTCTAACCTTTTAGCCACGAAGATCGGTATTTTCTCTGGATCAGTTTCCTTAAACAGGCAGATAATATCCTCAATATTCCTTAGCATCTTCCCATTTCTTTTCCGCGTCTTTGGCCGCTTACTGACAGATTCAAATAACAGCGATTTTGCTGTTGCGATATCTTCATCAGTAAACGCACTTTCACAAATCTGAATTAAACTTAACTCGTCCATGACGTCCAACTTGTTTTGTACGAACGCCAATACTTCACATATTACCAAATTACATTGGGAACACTTTAATCTTTTAGATACATCTTCCATTTTCACAGCGGTCGCGACCGGTACATGTACTTGCGGTCGAATATGCCGCGCGACTGATTTTTCCAGCAGTGGGGATTGAACCCACACCCTCTGGCGCGAGTGACAGGGTCACTCCACTACGACTATTGGGTCGTTTTTTATGATGAAATTTCTCGTTATTTAATTAAGTAGATTAAACTATCAACGGCCGTCCATGTCAAGGTTAGAACTTCCATTTGAAGGGGCTTTGGATCTTGTCATGCTCCCATATTAGTCGAATTATCATCCTTTCGTATACAGAGGTCGCGGAGATGCAACGTAGGCAACTGTGTTATAGCGTCAACGTCGTGCACCAGCTACTTTCGCTTCGGGTCGTTCCTGTCTTCCAGAGAAGCTTTCAAAGGTTAATAGAATACTACATTGACAAAAAAAGATTATGTTGACGATTATGTTATAACTGCCCTATTAAATAATCACGATGTAGTAACCAAAAATTATAGTCTGTCATTAGTGGGTTCATTTAGGTGAAAAACACCGCGCCAGTTATAATAAATCATACACAAACTTTCACGACGGATAAATCTTTTGTGGTAAACATATGTAACTAATGCTTCAGCCACCTTAACATGCAGCCCCGTAGTTCTGGCTTATTTAATCTTGCTAAGATATCCCTTGCCTTTCGCAAAAGGGGGCACTGGGTTCACGGTTAATCGGGATGAGCGGCTATCTTCCGCTTTAGTCAACGTAGGGTTAACATTCCTAAGGGTTTTATAAGTGCACTGCAGAGTGACACCAGACAATCTACTTCAAAGTTACTGAAGGGGCCACCGTGTTAGCTCAATGTCCCGGCGCTCACTTTTAGTTCAATATACTATACCTGCAACCTGGGTTCAATTCCCAATGAAACTGTTAATTTCAGGTGCTGACATATCACGTGCTCAGCGGTGAAGGAAAACGTCGTGATGAAACGTGCATATTTTTGGAATTTATCAATAAAATGTTCAAAGATATGTAAAGTCTGCGAATCCTCAGTGGAGTCGCGTGCTGAAGATACGTTATGTTTATACTGGATTTATTTAATAACATAGAATATTTCAAAAAGTTCATATTTTGCAGAATCAAAAATTATCCGTATTGTATAAAGAGTAGGTATATCATTGTTTAAATATCAAGGAAACAACCAAACTAAAATAATTTAAAAGTTTTAAAGAGTATGTCGTTAAATCCAGTGCAGTAATATAGTTCACACACACTATTCTTTTACCTTGTGAAATCAAAACCGTTAAGACCACTTCGTATTAAATGGACAGTTTTGTGAAGTGAAGTCTTACAAAAGCTAGAAAGAAAAGATTGAAAAGTTGTGGAAGATTACTTTTTGTATGAGTAATAATTTTGATTCACGTCTATTACATACAGAAGTACAAACATTTCCGTCAATGTTCGATACTTACGCCATCTCTTGTCTGTGTTGTCCGTATAATTAATTTTCATTTTTTTTTTCATGCGAAAAGTTGTCAAACGAGCAGACGGTTCACCTGATGTTAAGTGAATACCGCCGCCCATGAACATCTGCCACACCAGAGGGGTACAGATGCGTTTTGAAAATTGGGCTCCGGCTACCTCTCTCACCAGACGAAACGTGAAAGTATTTGGCATACTTCCACTTTACGCTGGTCTTCTGTAAGGTCGTGGTATGGCCCCGGAAGGGCCAGCCCAATCGTGCAACAGCCGAGGCTGCTGCGTGGCCCTACCACCGTATTTCCTAACATTATTGATACTATATCCAAATATAAAATATTATAATGAAAATATATGTCATTTTAAATTAACATAGTTTCTTTTTCATTATGTGAAAAAATTCAGAGCACCGAACTAAATCGCTTGTGGCACCAATATAGATCCCCGGTACTCTGGAAAGAACGTGGAATTAACAAAGGCAAATACATCTCCCACCTTCAAGTTGCCGATAGCAGTCATTATGGCAGAATCGCTCCTCAATCAGAATCGCCCCAAAGGTCCTCCACCTTGGTATTATGTTCAATGACCGACACTGTAATCAACAATGTCAAGTCCTCAGTGACAAGACCAAGATCATGTCTAATGTCCATGTCGCATCTATACTGGTTGGGAGCACTGATCTCGAAGTTGTTAACGAGTATATTTACTCAGGATAGTTAGTCCGGTTAGGTAAGTCCAACTTCACCGCAGAGGTCATGCGTTCGGGGAACTTCAGCATATATTCTCATCCAATATCCCTCAATGTATGGACTAGTCTTCAATCAATCTGTATTGCCAGTCAGTAAGGAACCACGAAGTGGTCCTTTCCTACCAAGACGAAGCTTAAAGTCACTCAGTGAGCTATAGAGCGGACTCTTATAGAACATTAAAAAAATTACCATTGGTTACCTAAACTAGACCTGACCAGAGAAGAAGCGGCAAGACTGCGGTTTTGGTATTGATCTTTTGTATGCTCTTTTTTTAATGATACAATTACTATATAAACTTATTAATCAGCAGCAGCCAGGGAACAGTGTAAGTGAGTAAGTGTCATTTCCACACATCCTTATCTAGGTTGTCCTGGTTGGATTATGAGCACTAAAAGAAATAAATATACTGATGGAAATCAAACCCCAGTTATCACGATAGTTTATAAAAAAAAAAGACAAGGAGAGCGGAAATTTAGGATCGGCAGTGCCTACTAAGTTAATATAATGTGCCAATATTTTAAATTTTAAAAGCAGTATTTACTTTTATGCAATAAATATTTTTTGTCGCACGGTGAGTTTTATTTTTTATTATATTTCATTACACACTATTTGAATTTTTTCTAAATCAAATAGTTTTTGAAAATCCTTAATTATATTTTTAGAAGAAACATAATATTAATTTACATATGCCATTCAATCTAACGAAAACAAAGTAACCAATTCAAACAAAAAAAAAATCCCATTTTTATGGTAGTGTTACAATTATGTGATTAATATATACGCACACAAATACAGTTGTTGTTTATTTACATCATTGCACGAATCAACTGCTTGTTTGCTATACCTTACCTACCTTTTATCACAAGATAATAATTAGATTTTTTTTATTAAAGTCATGCAATAATAATGCAATAGCTACAATATTAATAATACAAAGACAAGCACTTGAATCCGCACTCAGCTTTATAATTTAATAAAATATAAAAGATGTATTTATAATTATAGCAGAAATCAAGAAGAAAAGGAATTCAGTTTACTGACAGTGTTGCGTACAGAGTATATTACTTAATATTTAAATATTGTTTTTTTTTCTTTCATTTTCAGTGCTTGCCAGCCTTTATATTTCTTAACAGACAGTCTTATTAAGATTTCAAGAAAATCGCAAAATAAATTGTAGATGACTGACTGCGGATTTAAGAGAAATATTACCATTTACGGCCGGTTTATTCTATCTACGGATAGATTTGGTCACTAGCGATAGGTATAAGACATTAGCTCTATAATACTTACATCGAAATTCCATCTCTAGTAACCAAACCTATCTGTAGATAGAATATTGAAACCGGCCGATAAACCAGTCAAGGTTAACCATTGAAGCAAATCCGATGCCGCTTTTGTAGGTCACCACTGCAATTTGTATCCAGTTATGGCGCGAATTAACATAAATGTATAATTAAACGTTTATTAGAAAGACACGTGAGTTCGCTCGCGTGAGACTGATTAATTCAATAGGAGTACATGATGAAAAGAATTATCTGATCATAAAAGGGACAAACTAAAGAACTCTCAACTCACTGCGTCTCAGTGTCCTTCAAAGATGTTAGGTCTTACCTAAATTATATACAATAATTTGGCAAATTAAATATGGCGACATCGCTTAGCCACGCGATTGTCTCTGCTGTCCAGAAGTTATTCCTGTCGGATGTCACATACCCAGACCAAAATCGGAAGAACTTTTGGTCGACAAAAAGTATTTTTCCGCTGAATAAATTACATTTTAGAGCGGAACAAAAACAACTCATCTTCTATGTACGTGTATGTGACTGGAGTCCTAAGCCGCTGGATCGATTTTGATGAAAGTTTTTGTGTGTTCAAGTGGATCCGAGTGGATTTAGATTTACAATTCAGCCCACTACAAAACGTTTTTTTTTAAATAAATTTCTTATTTCATATAAAATTAAATCGGTTAATAACAAATAAATTTACATGATTATAATATAACATTTTTTATGATAAAATTTTTATTTACATGATTTTCGCTAAAATACATAAGCTCTTAAAAGGTAAAAATTAGAACTTATCCTCAACTACTACTAACGACTTTGTCAAAACGTTAACCGATAAACGCATCATTTTATTCACGTTCGATCATTGAATATGAATCCAAAGACAAAGTAGAAATAAACATATTAAAATACAAAAATTATCAAAAACTACCACCAGTCGTTAAATAGTACCTGCCCCAGGGGAGCACCTCCTTACTCTTATTTAATACAAATTTTTCATCACTCAATAAATTAGCACCATTTGCGTTTTGCCCGTCCATTACCACAATCCGAAGACCATAATAATAACGTACGTCGAGCTAAATTTTTGCACGGACCTTGTTTGCCAGAGACTTATGTCTGAGCGAGAGATCCAACTGGCCTTGTAGCCTAAGAGTGCCTTGATAATTCGCCGCCGATGAATCAGTTTCGTCGATCATCACCTCCACTATATCACCATCTGTACCAGTGACGGTGAAGTCGGGCTCCCCATACGCCATATAAGTTATTTTCATGCTACCCTCTTTAGTGTTGACGACCCAGTAACCCTCCGCCCCAGTCGTCTCGTCCGATACCTTGATCGCGAAAACAGCTGGCACCGTCACTGGATCCATTCCCTTATTTTGCATACTCTTTTCGAGCGACTTCAGGTACTTGTGGACACGAAATTTGTCCGGTGCCACAGTACCCTTGGGTCCGCGGGAGACATTGGAGGAAAAGCCACGATAGATAGCGACGACCACCGCCCCGCCAAGGCCCAGGTTGTGCTGCAGCCCTATCCTCGCATTCGGCACCTGGAACCGCGATTGCCGACCAGTTAAGACGTTTTACCACATTGCCGGGCCCTTTTTGAAATCTTTGATTGAACATACAATAATTAATTCGTTAAAATTTAAATTACAACAAGGTGTACGTATATATGTTTGTTCTATTAAATAAAAACTGAAATGAAAATACCAAAAAAAAAAAAACTCAAATCTTCAACCTGAAAATGTTAATGTTTTATAAACAAGTTTCGTTGATTTTGTATCTTGTCACTTAAAATCATTTATTTATACTGCGACACTTGAGAACGATTTTTCTTTTAAATATTTAGCATTCTATCGTCATTCCACATGTTTCTTTTCAACAATTGCGTTAAAAATTTTATATTTTTAGACTGGAATTACGAAAATTTATTTGGAAGCCATTGTATACACCTATAAAAAATAGTATCGTCTTAAATATTAAAATAAATGAGTCTTCAATAGGAATGTTCAGAGGAAATGTTACAAAGTAAATAAAGAAAATGTATTCAGTGCAAAAAAACAATTATAACTGTATCTATATCAGATATCTATATGATTCAACTGCATATGCATGAATGAAAATAATAAATGATTGTATAGCAATTTCTTTTGTGCACTTTACTGCAGTTTATCGTATTCATGTAGATAACGGATGCGTAGGTTTAGGTAGCGTCATATTGGTATTACAAATTTTGTTATTTCGTATGCAAGCATGCTGTTTATCTTTTCCAGAACTTTGCTTAATCAATTAAGTACCTAATTTGTCAAACCAATTGTCGAAGTCAAAAAGGGTCGTTCAAAAGGCTATTGACAAAAGAAAATAAGTATTTCATTTCTAGACAGTTTGATATAAATAGTGTTTCTAAACATCCAAGTAAAGTAAGTATGTTAAAAAGCTTTGCATACCCTGTCGATCCAGAAAAACATGCCGCCAAATTAAAATTTGTGGAAAAAGTACGAAAAGATCGTCGCCGCTGTGGGAATCGAACCCACGTCTTCGGCATTCACAGCCTGACGCTTTAGCCACCAAGCTAAACGGCCGATTGCCACACCGACGAAAATCTTAACGTCTTTTATCTACATTATTTCTTAGCATTTGAAGCAATGCTTGGCGCATCTATTGTTGTATCCTTTCCAGCATACAAACAATTTCGAATATCGTTTTACAATGATAATTCGAACGAGAGATTTTCTAAAAAATTTAATGTACAATCTTAAGTGCAGAGATTAGCACTATAATAAATTGAAAATGACCCTAAATGTTAATGACAACTTTACTATAAGACTTGGCTTTACATCTTTATTGAGTTACACGTATGAGTGTTTCTGGAACTAACGAACTCCGCAGCAGCCTTCGCTGTTGCACGGATGGGCAGGTCCGTCCTCACAGAAGACCAGCGTGAAGTGGAAGTGAGGTGGCCGAGGCCAACTTTATTAGAAAGTGGCAACGTTGCGCAAATGACCATGGGCGGCGGTTATCACTACGTCAGGTGATCTGCCAGCTCGTTTACCTTCTCACATAAAAAAATAACTTGCCGAGAACACTGGCGTGTAGCATTGTTTTCTTGTTTAGTTAATTTACAGCTGTATTTAAATAAATTAAAACCTGTAGCATTTTCGAATTTAACATTTATGAGGATAAGGTAAAATAGAATGAGGACTCCGTGGCGCAGTTCCCAAGTTATTGGCTTCGGCGATGGGGGTCGTGGGTTCGATTCCCACACGGGACAACTATTTGGGTGACTCACGGGTTGTTGTTTCGGATCTGGGTGTTTTTCCACGTGAAATTTATGTTTGCAGAACGTCGAACAACATCGAACACAAGATAATGTTATCCTAAAGTAAGGGCAATGTTTTAAAAGAAAAATATTAAAAAAACAAAAAATACACATTGCGAAAAGACATTTTGTACCAGGGTGGGATTTAACCAAAAAAAATGAAAATACATAATCTTGTGCCATTATTTAGTTACGGTGGGATAATATTTCGTAATGACCTTACTTTAGATCTTTAGCTTCATATCTGTAGAGAAATTCTGGTCAGATTTAATGAGTCTAAAACTCCATTGGAAAGATGTCACTTTCATCTTTATCTATCATTGTGTCTATTGATTTATATGTTGTTACTTCTCCTATAATCATATTCTGGGTCTGCTAGTTTTATTAGTTACACTACTTCGTTCCTTGGCGCTAAATTTGCTCACACAAAAACGAGGGTAAAACGGGATCTTATTACTAAGACTCTGCTATCTGTCTGTCCGTCTGTCACCAGGCCGTATCTCAAGAACCGTGATAGTTAGACAGTTCAAATTTTCACAGATGATGCATTTCTGTTGCCCCTATAACAACAAATACTAAAAATCAGAATAAAAACGGTTTAACGGTGGTAGGGCCATGCAGTTGCACGAATGGGCAGGCTCGTCCGGGTCAGTACCGACCTCACAGAAGACTGGCGTAAAGTGGAAGTATAATACTTTCACGTTTCGTCTGATGAGTGAGGTGGCCGGAGCCCAATTTTCAAAAGGTTGTCAACACATCTGGAACCCTAGGGTGTAACAGATGTCCATGGGCGGCGGTATTCACTTATCATCAGGTGAACCGTCTGCTCGTTGGCAACTTCTCACATAAAAAAAAAACAAATATTTAAGTGGGCTCCCATAATGGTACGGAACAATTGGCGCGCGAGTACGACTCGCACTTGGCCGGTATTTATAGACATTAGTACGGAACCCTTTGTGCGCGAGGTCCCCGGTATCCACTACATCAGCTAATACAGTAGGCGCTCGGTAATCCGGCAATCGATTTTTTTCTTCTATGCCGGATTATCTGTTTTGTATGCAAAGCAAAAGCTCTATTTTATACATATAATGTAAAACAAATTCTACATAATTATAAAAGATGGGTATTATAAATGATGGGTATCCTCAATATAAGACTATTTATGGATAGGGTTTTTTTATTATAGAAATAAAATTGACGAACTTTTTTTTTGACCACATGTAGTGTCTCAGTATTGTTCATGTTCAAAATTTTAAACACGGTGGCAGACTGACAAACGCGGGATTATCGAGCGCCTACTATAATTCTATTAAAATGATCTTACCCTAAACCTTTAGCTAAAGGTGAGTATAGACTACAACATTTACTTGTAACAGAACAACGAGCCGCTCTACGATATGTTCTAGTGTATCATCCTTTCACGAACTAAACGTCGAGCACGCTGCCTCTTTGTTACAAACCATATTGCATATTGGTGTAACATTTCGTCGAGCGTATTGGTGTAACATTTCGTCGAGCCACGAGTGCGGGCGATGCGCGGATGCGATATCTATTTTTCTTTTTTCTTAATATAATTCATCAAGATAAACGCAGCACACGCAACTTGTAGGTCCGACATTTTAAAAAAGAATGAACGCAAGGTACAACGAAATGTTGGTACCTAATTGCACACTCGCTGTGAGCATTTACCCGCAACATAACGCCGAGCATTCGCAGGAACGTTACATTACATGGAAATGCTTTGGAAACTGAGTTTTTGCGTGTATTGAACCATTCGTAAGAACTTAACATTACACAGAAATGCTCCAGAAAATGTTGTAGTCTATACTCACCTTAACGATTTATTGTACCGCCAATTCATAAGTAATTATAATTTTTGGTCACTATTATATCACATCGGAGCGGACGCGACGAGCGGCTCTCTACTCTTGTGGTCCCTCTGAAACCTTTTTTTGGCTATAAAAAATCACCTGGAAGCCAGACTCGGCTGAAGTTTACGAAATATGGCGGGTTTTGTGTAATTGTGGTTCAGTGAATTGCTGACGCTCTGCCAACATTTCATAAAAAGCAAGCAATGCCCTCACTAAACTAACTTATAGGCACTAATAACGAAACAATGCACGGTGACCTTCGCATATATTGATGAAAATTACACTCGTCTTTGCTTACGTTGTCATCATTTACATTTATGGCTTCTTAAGCAAACAAGAAACATTCCTACAGTCACTCCACCTTTATCCGTCCTTAGAGTAAAATATCCGCAAAACACAACATTGGCAAAATTTCATGCTAAATAATTAAGTATATAATCCTCCATAAATTAATATTTTTTTCTTAATCTCTTTTAAATATTACATGGCAGAGAAGGAGCAAAAAAATTACCTTTAATCTAATCACGAAACAATGGAAAGGTCACCTTTCCACATTGTGATAAAAACAAGGCATGTCTATGTTTATGTTGTCATCTTTACACTTATGTTTTCTTAAGAACATTCTGTAGAATTACTCAAATTTTCAGTCTTAAAAATATCCTGGAAACAACACTGAACAAATTACATGCCTTATTTACTTATCACTTTTTTTTTCTAATTATTAATTCAAGTTGGGAAAGCCAAAGCCAAAATTAATTTAATGAAATTCTAATATTATTATTGTAATCCTCTTAATGTATTTTGTCCCATATTAAAATGATAAAACTACTCAGAAAAAACAAAAAACCAGTGATTATTATTAACTATTAAATATTAAAAACAATTTGAAACAAAATTTATTTGCCTTCAAACAAGTCCATAAAGACCAAAAAAAGTCTATGACATTCTTTAGTACCTACTTTACTCATGCAAATTTACCATGAGAAACATTAAAATAATTACATATATTATATTAAGATTATTCTTTAAGCATGGAAGACATTCTTGATGGTTCAAGAAAGATGAAGTTAAGGCTACTCATGTGCATGTTTCCATACATGCAAAAAAGCTTTGCATACCTGTCATCTCATACAAACATATCCCAAAAAACTAAGACCCATGAGTTACATTAAAGTTATCTTTTTTTAAGTTAAAAGAAACAAACTTAACATCTCACAGCCAGTTTTTTTAGTTCAGGGCGCTGGCCTTACTTAACAATAATGGTGCAACAAAGAGTTTCATACTATCAGAACAGAAATAAACTTAGATCATAGTCTTATCTAAGTTTGTGCAATAGTCTATGAAGAAATGAAATTGGTATTGTAATTCCGCACAATAAGAAATATGGTTAGAGTACAGACTGTGAAGTCGATAAGTCCATATTTTAATATTTACTATTCCACTATCCAATACAATACAAATTAACAAGTTCCATAAAATAAATTCATACACTAACCTGTCGATTTTCTGCTTCACCCCTTAACTGCCAGACCAGCTCAGCACATTGTGCCAGCCCTGTAGCTCCTATCGGGTTGCCTCTAGCTAATAACCCCCCGCTGGGGTTCACAACTACCTTTCCCCCATATGTATTATCTCCTGCATCAACAAACTCTCCCCCTTTCCCTTCTCCGCACAATTGTAGGCCTTCATAGGTAATTAATTCATTAGTAGTAAAGCAGTCATGTAACTCAACAACATCTATTTGGCTTGGGGAGATGCCAGTTTTTTCATACACTTGCTTTGCCGCCAATGCTGTCATGTCATACCCAGCAATTTTCATTACGCTCTTATCTATGAAAACGGCTGCAGTGTCAGTAGCCATAGCCATTCCTAAGATTTGAACAGCTTTTTCATGAAGTCTATAATTTGCTACAGCTTTCTCAGACATAAGAACAGCTGCAGCAGCGCCGCTGCTGTTACTACAACACTGCAATTTAGTTAAAGGGCCAAAAATATATTTTGAATTTAAAACCTCATCCAATGTGTATGAACGTTTATTTAATGCCCTAGGATTTTTAGAACCGTTGTGGTGGTTTTTAACTGCAATCTTGGCAAACTGCAAAGTTGACGTTCCATATTTCTTCATATGCTCAATAGCCGCATTACCAAAGCATTGAGCAGTCGGAGGCGCATTTTCTACCTGAACCATTTCCAACATTTTATATTGGTGTTTATCCAAAGGATATGTTCTGTCAGGGTAAGCTGTTCCTGGCAGTCTGCCTGGTGTCATCTTTTCAAATCCCAATGCCAGTACAACATCAGCTAAGCCACCCTGAATCAGTTGATGGGCAAGAAAAAGTGCGGTGGCCCCAGTTGCACCGTGATTATTGACATTGATGATTGGGATACCGGTCATGCCAACTTGGTATAGTACCCTCTGGCCACTCGTGGAATCCCCATAAACATACCCACAAACTGCTTGTTGAACGCTATCATATGAAATATTACAATCCTTTAAAGCTTGTTCCACCGCCGCCTTGCCGATTTCTGGATAATCTATTCCTGCGTTGGGTTTTTCAAAGTTCGTCATACCAACTCCAACGACGTACACGTTTACACTCATGATTTTAATATTTTTGTTAAACAACAAGGTAATAGTCGTAGACTCGTAGCAAACTTTATAACTTTCACTAATATTATACACCAGTCCACGAGCACGGACTCTAACGTATTTAAACAAAATATCTTGAAGTTTTTTGTGTTAAAACAACGATTCTCTTAGGATTAACAAAAGAGCATGTTTGTACTAATGTATTAAATCCCAACAGCAACCTACAAAAGTGTATATAAATATATATTAAGATGATGCAAATTAAATTTCAATATACACATATAAATATAATAGTATAGTAAACTGTATTAAAAAGTTGCAAAGTACGTACTTTACTCTGACCTCTGTGTCTATAAAATTAAATGAATAAGTTTGAACTTTAGCGCCAAAAGTATTACCATTTACCAGTGTCATTCAAAATAAGGGAAAATTTTTTTTTTTTTACATTATACTATTTTACAAAGAACAATGGCGAACTCCCATACAGAATTTTATTTCAAATTAAATTGCCTCTTTGAGTAAAAGTAATTTTATTTAATTCAGCGATAGACTACGAACTTGTTTATGCAGGAACTTTGTTTAAAGGAAGCCGAGACTAGGAGATATTCAGTTTTGAACTTGTGCAGGTTATTACTGTCACTTCTATTTGTAAAGAGTAGTTTTTGGAAACTATAAGTATTCCACCGGACCTACCAAGAGAAAATACTGAATTATATAATGTATAATACTGAAAGAAGGTTATACATAATACATATTAATGTCTAGATCTAAGAGACATTTAGACAGGTACAGTTTGTATGGGAAAATAAAATTGTTGCTATTTCGATTTTCCATGCAATTTTTGTTAGTGGGTACATCGCTATTAAGAAGTGCACACAGCACAACACTAGTTTTTGTTCTCTTTGTCAGTGGATAGAAAAGTTACACTATGGTCTTAAGAAAATGTATTACAGTAAAAAACGGTCAGTGATATCTTAAATAATAATAAATAATATTAATAAAAGGTTGGTTTCCCTCATCTGAGCATTCCTATACCCTTCAGGTTATGGGCCCAGACTGCCCAGAGTGAGAACAGTGCATAAAAGAATTAAAAAAATGAATAACCAAGAAGAAAATATAGAAAAACTTACGAACTCTGACAATTTCCACATCTGGAAATTTGAGATAAATATACATGTTTCGGCATCGAATCTGTCGGAAGTGTTGAAAGAAACAGACCCAGAACAGAGAGAAAAACCAGAATTCCAAACTAAGGATGCTAAGGTAAAGAAGTTGATATTGAACTCCATAGATAGAAAACTAAAAGGTCACATCATAAATTGCAAAAATGCATATGAAATGTACAATAAGCTATGTGCAGTATTTGAAGGATCTGAAGAAAGAAACAAGTCTTCCTTACTACAAGATTTCTTTAACTTCAAATTTGAAAACCAGACAATGTCACAGTTGATCACAGATATAGAAAACTTGAGGATGAGATTAAATAATCTTAGCCAAAACATTGATGATGACATGGTGATATCAAAAATATTAACCTGCTTACCAAACCAATATAAATTCTTCATCACAGCATGGGAATCAACACCCGATGACAAAAAGACACTTACCAACTTAACTAACAGACTTTTATCAGAAGAAAACAGATTTACAGAAAGGAAAATTGAGTACAAACAGGTTGCTTTTAAAGCGGAGAATAAAAACATAAAATGTTTTAAATGTCACAAAATAGGCCATCTAAAAAAGGATTGTAAGATGTGCACTTTCTGTAAAAGATACAACCATGAAGAGAAAGATTGTAAGTTAAAAAACAGCTGTTGTTCAATTTGTAAGAAAAATAATCATACAGAAGAAAACTGTTTCTTAAAAAAAAAAGGTGATAGTAAGAAACACAAAAATGTTGCCTTTTCGACACAAAACTCTGAATTGACTTCATTAAAATTTATAGTAGATTCTGGTATCCTTTTGTCTGTAAATTGTGTTACCAATAATGATGGTTCAGTTGTGTTCACAAAGAATAAAGTGGAGATTTACAAAAATTCAAATTTAATTTTAACTGGTAAAAAAGAAAATGGCTTATACAGGGTAAATTTAGAACAAGACCTGAAAAACGAAAATAAATCTTTACTTACACAAGTAAAAGGAACAGCATTGGAATGGCATGCAAAACTAGGACACCCAGGTAAATCAGTACTAAAAACACTAACAAAAGTGGCAGACGGCATAAATATACAAGGACCAAAAGTATTACAAGAACAGTGTAAAATATGTGCTGAAGCAGAACAGTCAAGACTACCATTTAATACAGTCAGAACTCGGGCTGAAAGATACCTACAAATAATACACACAGACATCTGTGGTCCCTTTGAGGAGAAGACTCATGATGGATACAGGTATGTATTAACAATAATGGACGACTACAGCCATTTTACAAAAATCTATTTACTTAAAAATAAGAGTGATGCAAAAGAAGAAATTAAAAATTATATTGAAGAAACGGAGCGAGAGAAAAATAGTAAAGTATCGACTATAAGATGCGACAACGGAGGTGAGTATACAAGTAACGATTTTAAAGTATTGTGTCAACAAAAAGGCATAAAATTAGACTACACAGTGCCCTACTCACCACAATTAAATGGGAAAGCTGAATGCCTAAACCGGACACTATTAGAAAAAACAAGAGCATTACTTTTTGATTCTAAATTGGACAAAGAAATGTGGGGTGAAGCAATATATTGTGCTACTTATATTTTAAACAGACTACCAAGTGATGCCCTGAAAAACAAAACACCATATGAAATGTGGGTTGGAAAAAAGCCTAATATATCTAATATGCATAAGTTTGGCTCTACTGTCTATGCAAAACAGTTACATCCAAATGTAAAGAAACTGGATCCTAGAAGCAAGAAACTAATAATGATTGGATACACTAATAATGGGTACAGACTGTGGAATGACAAGGAAAGAAAAATAGAGATATCAAGGGACATAGTGATAGTAGAAAGTGAAACTGAACAACAGAAAGAAAATTTTAAGAAAATAAATAATAATAAAAGTGAAAATGATGAAAAAGAGACAACAGAAAACCAGGAAGAGACTACAGAAAACCAGGGAAAGACTACAGAAAACCAGGAAGAGACTACAGAAAACCAGGAAAAGACTACAGAAAACCAGGAAAAGACTGCAGAAAACCAGGAAGAGACTACAGAAAACCAGGAAAAGATTATAGAAAAGCAGGAAGAGACAACAGAAGATACCAGAACAGAAGAAAATAAGAATGATGAGACTTTTGAAGATGTAGTATCAGAAACTGAATCAGAAGACACGGAAAGAGAAAGAAACAGACATAATGAAGAACATGGTTACCTAAGAAGAAGCAAGAGAATGAAACACATACCAATACATCTAAGAGACTACAGTTTACTTACTTACAGGGAGGCTGTAACATCTAAAGAGGGAGAAAACTGGGAGAAGGCTATAAATTCGGAGAAGGAATCCCTGGAAATCAATAATACCTGGGAAATAGTAAACAAAAAAGAGGCAAAAGATAGTAAAATACTTTCAAACAAATGGGTATTCTGTGTGAAAGATAATGGCACTTATAAAGCTAGACTTGTTGTACGAGGATTTGAACAAAACAGTATTGACTACAATGAAATTTACAGTCCAGTTGTCAGTCAGTAACTTTAAAATCTTTATTTGCACTTGCTGCTTCTAAAGACTATAACATGATGACATTCGATGTTAAGACTGCATTTTTATATGGAGAGCTGGAAGAAAATGTGTATATGAATATACCGGATGGATATGAAAAACAACCTGAAAAAATTTGTCCATTAATGAAATCCTTATATGGGTTAAAACAAGCTCCTATTACATGGAACAAAAGATTTACAAAAGCAATGTTAAAACTTGGTTTAAAAGCTACTAAAACAGATCAGTGTGTATTTACAAATGAAGATAATACAACAATAATAGCAGTCTATGTTCTTCTAAGATGATGGGCTTGCTTTGGCTAAAGAAAAGCAAACATTAAAAAACATCTTAAATTCCCTAGAAAATGAATTTGAAAAAAAAGTATACAACGATCCTACTACTTTTATTGGATTAGAAGTTAAGAAGACTGAGAAAGGTATAACACTGAAACAAGAAGGCTACATTGGAAACTTATTGAAGAAATTTAGTATGGACGATTCTAAGCCTGTTAATACACCTTGCAATACAGAAAAGAAAACAGAAACGCAAAACACAGATACTACAAATTTCCCATATAGACAACTGATTGGAGGACTTCAGTACGTATCTACAAGAACAAGGCCAGACATAAGTCAAGCTGTAAATGAAGCAAGCAGAAAAATAGAAAACCCTACGAAAGATGATGTGATAGCTGCAAAGAAAATACTAAAATATTTAAATGGAACAAGACAGAAAGGAATCATGTACAAGAAAGGAGGAGATATTTCAAAATTAAATGCATACTGTGATGCCGACTATGCCAATTGTACCAAGACAAGACGCAGTACAACCGGATTTGTGATAATGTTGGCAGAAGGACCTGTGTCTTGGTGTTCAAAACAACAACCAATTGTTGCCTTATCATCAACCGAGGCAGAGTATATTGCAGCAGCTGATTGCTGTAAGGAATGCTTTTATTTAAAGTCATTTTTAAAGGAGCTAATTGGAACTGAAGTTGAAATGATATTAAATGTGGATAACCAGAACGCTATTCAGCTGATCAAAACAGGTTCATTCAATAAAAGATCTAAACACATTGATGTGAGGTACTATTTTATTCATGAAAATTATAAAAAGGGTAAAATTAATATTAAATATTGTCCCACTGATAAACAGACTGCAGACATATTTACAAAACCATTGTTGAATAATAAATTTAATTTTCACGCCCAAAATATTGTCAACTAAATAAGTTCATGATATAGGAATATAACTTAAGAAGCACCTACTTCAAAATTTGTATAATTTAAAATTTTGATAGCATAGAATAACAGGTATTA